GGAGAGACATTTGCAACTTCAAAATGAGTCGGTCAAACATTGAGATGGTCAAATTAAGTGCTAATTTGGTGTCAAACAAGACAACACTGAAATTTGATTTGGATAACAACGACCCACTGAAAGTCGACATTGAAACACGAGATTTGATATGTATTGGAAATGTGACTAAAAGCAATTTAAAAGTTCAATTCAGTGTGTTGGAAGGGTGTGACTATTACGAAATACGAAGTGTGCCACCACTTGTGACATTGAAGCCTGGATATGCTTGTGAATTTGAAATATCCATCAAGCCGCTGTGCACCTGTGTCACCAAAGAACATGTAGCAATCACTTCATTAAATATAGCAACCGGTGTCATTGAAAATGCAAAAGTTGAAATGGAAATTGAGACGGAACAAACAACTAAATTGAATTACAGAGAACTCATAGAAAATGAGAAGCTTGGTGAAGGAAGTTTCGGAATAGTTTATAAAGGGCAATACAGAGGCGTCTGTGTTGCAGTCAAAAAGATGAAACAACTTGATAATTATGAAAGTGGACTTGAAGAATTTGAAAAGGAAGTTGCCATGTTAGACAAGTTTAGGTGTGATTACATCATACACTTCTATGGTGCTGTGTTTATACCAAGTAAAGTGTGTATGGTCACCGAATTTGCAGCATTTGGGTCACTCCAAGACTTGATCAAACACAAGAAGAGTGATGAAGTTGATATGAAGTTGCGAATGAAATTTTTGTTGGATGCGGCAAAAGGCATTCAATATTTACATGAAAATGGGATTCTACACAGAGACATCAAACCAGACAATTTCCTGGTGTTGTCACTTGATGTGAATGAAAATGTGAATGCTAAATTGACAGACTTTGGCTCATCAAGAAATGTCAATATGCTACAAACCAACATGACATTCACAAAAGGTGTTGGCACATTAATCTACATGGAGCCAGAGATTTTGAAACAAGATAAGTACAAGAAGAGTGCAGATATTTATTCATTTGCAATCACTATGTTTGAGACTATATCTTGGCGAGAAGCGTACCCCAAAACCGAATTTAAATATCCATGGAAAATAGCAGACTTTGTGAATGGTGGAAATCGTCTTCAAAAACTTGACTGTATGATTGATGAACAGTATGAACTGATATCTAACTGTTGGGCTCATAACAAAGAAGAAAGAATCACTATTGAAGCTACAAAAGAAAAACTTGAAAATTTGTTGAGGTGATAATATGAATTAATTATTTTATATCATACATTTATAAAAACATTTTAATGCAACACAAGAAACAATCAAGTTAATTGTATAAAAAATTAATAATTATAACCAACTTTAAGAAAAACAATATTAATAATTTAAATGATAAATAGTCGTTTTAGATACAAAATTTGTTTTATTGCAAACCACAACATTTCTTTTAATTATCGTTTTTTTTCCAAGTAAATAACAAAAAACGGTTTTCAATAAAATAATATTTACTTGAAGAAATATCCAGTCTAAAAAAGTCTTAATAAAATATCAAAGAATATGATTATTGATTCAAAAAACACATGAATGTTTCTAAAAATGAATTTAAATATAATAAGCTGATAAAATTAACGAAACAATTTTTTAAAGTCAATATTAATTTTATTAATATTGAGTTAATATTATTATATGTTTATTATTGTGCTTTCAGGCTGAGATCGGTGAGTCTGTGTTAAGAAGTATCAAGTTAATGCCAAATCAAATAACAGGATATTGTTTTTTTTTGAAAAGCCATTTCAAATAATCCAAAGATATCCCGAATTTGTACAAAAATAATATAACGGTATTGGTATTTTTATTAAAAAAAGCTGTACTTTTAATTTTTGTTTTTTGTTTTATGCTATTTTTTCTAATTTTGATACAACTTTTTGAAAAGAAATACTGTCAATTGAATTTTGACACCAACAAGACGTGATTATTTTAAAAATGTAATTTTGGAATGCAATGAGTGTTTTGAAGTCGTTTACCATTCATTAGAAACTCTGCTATTTTCCATGGGTATTTAAAATATTCTTTTTATTACGCTTCACACCATCCAAACACTTCAAATATTGTAATACCAAACGAATAAATATCTGATGACATTTTTGAATTAATTAAACCCGGATTATATTGTATTTTAAAATATTAACAAATATAATTTAAAAATCGAATAAAGATGAATTTGATTTTTATCATACCATAAAAATGTTTGGGTGTTTTACCGAAAACAAGTTTTATTAATTTGAATGTTTCATAATAATCATATTTGTTATTTTGAATGTATTTTTATTTATTTATATATCAACCTCATAAAATATTAATGCTTCAAAACAGACTATAAAATATCAACTTAATTATTATTTTAACAATAAATGCGACTTGAAAGAGTATACCTAATGAATGTTGTTTTCTATATGGATCTTAAATCAATTGATAGTTTCATATATGTCAACAAATTGTGTCTCGATATTGTAAATTCGTTATTCACAATTCCATATTCAATTGAATGTAATGAACAAACATTAACCAAAATTTCGAAACTGTTTACAAATGTGGAAACACTTAAAATTGATGACGAAAACTTCGAAAAATCTCTTTTTTATGATAATTTGATTACTTCTTTTCCAAACATAAAAATACTCAATTATAAAAAAGATTCACATAATTTAATCGACACTAAAATGATATCTTTAGTAACTGATTTATTTATTAATGATAAAGAAACCATCATTTATGATTATATTCCAATGCTCACAAATTTAACACGGTTGTCGATTGCCCATTGTTCGTATTTTGGTTATGGTGATATTCATAACGAAATATTTACATTGCAGACCCTTCGAGAGGTTTTTTATATTTGACAATACATCAGATTTTAACACTTAAAGAAGACATTTTGAATTTACTGAGCAGAAACGTTAAAGTGGAAATAAATGTAGGTCATGAAGATAATAATAATTTTGACAGTGATTACTCTA